ACAAGCCTAAGGTCAAAACCCTTGACCTTAAGAACCTTGTGGGACAGAAACTGTCATTTCATTGATTTGAATCCAGAAATACAGGTTCACCCATCCTGAGACTTTCCTTCTTGAAAATCAAGTGAAAGAACACTCTCTTTTTATTATCATTACTATTTTACAAATATTGATAATCAAAGTGTCTTAGTTCAAACCATTTTAGATGTTGCAGTGAACTAATCAATTTTATTAACTGTGAAACAGTGTAATGATTTTGAATGCTTATGCAGAGTTAGAATTCATGTTGAGGTCTGTTACAGATTTTTATGCATTTTCTGATTTCTGTCTTTGAATGAGCAAGTGTGCGTTTTCCAAGGTCAGGAGTCGAAGCAGACATGTGTTGGAACAACTGTCTTGTTTACATCCTCTCAGACGTCAACGGAGAAGTTGGCACCTGTTTCTCCAAACTCGCCAAAACAAAACTCTCTCTGTCTCTGAGAACAGTTTAATCTGTTCCATAACAATTCTTGCTGTTTTCTGACTTCTAGTAACCTCTTACGTCACAAACCACACCCCTGTCTGGTTGATATGGACCAATCAGGGACGCCCAAATGAACCGGGAATAGAGCTCTTTAAAATGCCGGTACTTCCTAGTTCTCTCGAGTTCTGAGAAGTGCGGTGAAGGGCGGAGAAGTTCTGTGAAGTCGTTTGGGAGAACAGAAGTCCAGCATGATAAGGCTCCTCCGAGTTGGATTATAACATCCTCCACCTCTGAGTGGAACTTCTGAAGGATTCCACTCATGTGAAGCCCACTTGCTGAGGTGAGCTTGTGTCGGACGGAATCTCGTCACTACTTCGGACGAGTCACAGCCATCCTATGGAGACGCTGGACAGGTAGCGTTAACTGGACCTCCATATCTGCTGATTCATCTTCAGAAAGGTAATGAATCAAGTTTACTACCAAAGCGTACCGAGGAAAAGCTGGGTTCTAATGGAGAGTGTCGGTTCTGGTCAACACTTCCCCTCACACACCATCTTTTACTCCCTTTAAACTCCATCTTTCCATCTTTAAACTCTCCTTTCTGCTAGAAAATTAATCCAGATGTTTTCATTAATGTCTGTGGTGAAGCAACGGAAAATCATGGCCGTATGGTTTTCCTGATTGATTGATTATGTTGTTATTTTCATATTTTGCCAAATTAATGTAAATGTTTGATGTTAAACTTTGATTCTGTAAAATAAATGACCGCATTCATTTTGATGGGTCAAATATAAATGACGTCTCACGTTTACATTTCATTAAATTAAATGCACGTTTTATTCAGTCCAGAAAAATGAAGAATCCGTTTTAATTGATGAATATTTCTCAGCATCTGTTCATCTACACTGTCCAGGATGTGAACATCTTCATCCTTGAAAGAGTGACCGCTGGCCTGGAGATGAGTGTAGACCTCAGAGTCCTGGCCTGATGATGTTGATCTTCTGTGCTGGTCCATCCTTTTGGCCAGTGGCTGTTTAGTTTCCCCGATGTAAGACGGATCACCCTCCTGACACTGAACAGCATACACAACATTACTCTGTTTGTGCCGGGAGACTGGATCTTTGGGGTGCCAACTGGGTTCCGTGTTCAACTGTCCCCCTCTTACAATGCTGTGATTGCTAGTATCACTCAGCCCTCTGTGAACAGTAAACAGCCATCAGGTGCTAATGATCCATTGTTAGGCTGATGGTCCTTCTTGAGCATGTGATCAGCTGGTTCTGGTTGTCAGCAGCAAAACTGGTTGATCCACTCTGAGAAGGTGCTATTTAAGAGACTGAGCTGAAAACAGCACCTCAGACTGAGGAAGTCTCTTGGATGAGAGACGAAACGTTTCTAGATTTTTTTGCTTTTTTTTTTTTTTTTTTTTTTTTTTTTTTTTGAATGTCCAGAGGACCAGATTGAACTTTTTTGGATTTTTCTACCTGGATTATTGAGCATGCATCAGAAAACTAAATATACTATATACTAGACTATATATCAGACCATACCATACTATACACACCATATACCATACTTTACCATACCATACCATACCATAATCCAGCTAAATGTTGAAAAGAGTTTGAATCAGAATGACCATAGTCACCAAAATATTGCCAGCCATAAAAAATTATGACCTGGTTTCTCTGATTTGTTCCAAATTTAGGAATTGAACCTTGGTTTCAGTTTGAGATTAACATTAGTGTGCAGCAGTGTGTACGCAGAAATATTATTTTCTGTTTGTTGCTATAAAACTTACAAGTTCTTCCTCTTTTGGCTGGTCCTTTTTCAGGGGTTGTCCTGATACCTCCCTTTTTACCCTACATTGCATCTCCTTATATTCCTGTCTCCTCTCTTCAGTTCTGGTACTGTCCAACTTCTCGGCTAGTTTCTTCCTCTGGATAACTTTCTGCACCAGGTTTCCTGATCATCCATTCTCTGTCCAGATGACACACCAAGTACCTTCCTACCTGTCTCTCTAATTACTGTTGCTGTAGCAGTCCAGTCATCTGGAAGCTCTTTCTTACCATCCAGAGCCTTTAACAGCTCCTCTCTGAATTTCTCACAACATTCTTCCTCCTTCATCTTCCATCATTTGGTCTTCTTCTCTGATTTTACTCTTTTTCTCTTCTTCACAACAACAGTCATTCTACACACAACCATCCGATGCTGTCTGGCCACGCTCTCCCCTGCCACAACCTTACAGTCTCCAATCTCCCTCAGGTTTCCTCTTCTACACAGAATGTAGTCGACCTGCGTACTCCTTGAGACGGAAACTCCCAAACCGGACACACTCCTTTCCATGACTGCACCTTCAGATCCTGGGGTGGGTGTTTAGGGGTTCGCTTTAGGACTAAGGTGTGAATTGTGGATGGGTTAGGGTTAGGCATGTACTAGTAATGGTTAGGTTTGGGTAAGGGTCAGGGTTAGGCTGTAGAAAATGAATGGAAGTCAATGCAAAGTCCCCACAAAGTACGTTTACAAGA